CCGTGAGCTGATTATCGAACCATCATTGTAACAGTCGCGGGTGTACTGTGTGTGTGCGTGTCGGGAGTGTTGCAGTAGAAAAATCCACTGTAGCGCCGCGGCCGCCGCCACTGTGGGCTAAGCCCCGAATGTTTTCAGGTCCAGGCGACGCCCCTGGTCTGAGGGCTTCTTAATATTTAATAAACTATGAATGTTTCATATCCATGTAACGGGAAGAAATTCAGCTAACTGATGATATGAACCATTTTTAGCAACAAAAAAACACAAGGCTAACGCTGAGCCTCTGAATTAGTCCTGAGTGAAAAAATGCTAACGCCGTTAGCACAAAAAACACGGTATAACACCCTTATTACTTATCGTAAATGCAAATCCAACCCATCGATTAGCATCGTGAGAGTACACAGAATCGATAGGTATATATATCATCACTCCATGATAATAACTTGCGACTTTATAAACAAAAACAGACATCACAACACGTGGCGCTAGGTAGCCAAAACGACAATATGTCTTACCTTTGTCGTTGTCTGATCAAAAGTTGTCTTCAATGGCATTAAAATGATAAAAACGCTGCAGAAGGTTAATCCATAGGTTAATCCAATGTGACTAGAGGAGGGACTTGAGAAGGGACTTGAGAAGGGACTTGAGAAGGGACTTGAGAAGGGAATTGAGTAGGGAATTGAGTAGGGACTAGAGAAGGGACTTGAGTTGGGACTAGAGGAGGGACCATGGCTGCTGGGGCCGGAACCATGGCTTCTGGGGCTGGGACCATGGCTGCTGGGGCTAGGACCGGAGCCGGAACAATGGCTGCCGGGGCTGGAATCCTGGCCTTGCGTTTCCTTCCATGCTGCCTTGAAGCCTTGTGGAGGCTCAGAGGTCCTCCAAAGGCCAGACGAGACCCAGCGAAAGGGTCCTTGAAAGGAGCCTTGTTGGGAACTGTGGCTGGCAGGGGGCTAGCATGCCAGGGGCTAGCAGGCCGGGAAACAGGTTTGACCTCAAAGCTAAAGAAAAAGTCCTCCACCCACTCGGGTACTAACTCCTTTAACCAGGGCCTTGAGGTTACTTCTTGGCAGAGGTGAGGTGTTTTGCAAGTCCGAGTCAAGTCTCAAGTCTTTGCGCTCAAGTCCGAGTCAAGTCTCAAGTCATTGTTTTGCAAGTCCAAGTCAAGTCTCAAGTCAGGATGGGCAAGTTCAAGTCAAGTCAAGTCCTAAACTTTGACAAAACGAGTCATAAACAAGTCATTATGTGTTTTTCACCAAATGTAATGACATCGATCAACAGAATAATACTTAATAATCAAATTGCTCTTTATTAGTCACATTAATAATTTAATAATCCATTTTCTCTCTGCTGGTAAAGTAACGTGTGTTTTTCTAATTTAAGAGGGATCAGTAAGGTAAGGCTACCGTGACGGTTTGATTCAGAAGGAGTTTAATGTATAAGATCCCTGATGTTGAGGTAACCAGAATGTTTATTTCCACTGTGTACAACATGTTATAAGGGACCCACAATCTATCTTTATGCAAGGGATAATGTGCAGCGAGGCGGGTCTCTATGGGGAAAAGAACACCTGAATCTAGATCCCTCTGCAGGTGGTACTTTAAGTATATTTTGATGCTAATACTTTTGTACTTTTACTTGTAACATTTTGAATGCAGGACTTTTTATTGTACAGGGTTCCTGCAGGTTTCGCCAACTCAAATTTAAGACTTTTTAACACCTTTTTAAGACCACTTTGAATAGAATTTAAGACCTATTTCACGGCAATAAAGTATGAAGGAAAATGTATATAAAGAAGAAATACGTCCCATAATCACTTACAAAGTAAATGTATTCATGTTCAACATAAGAACAATGACTGAACACAACAGCGTAACAGAACTGTGTTAGCGTGTTAGACAAAAAGTGTGTATGTGTGTGCGTCTGTGTGTTAGGGCTGTGCAATTAATCATATTTTAATCGCAATTACGATTTTGGCCTGCCACAATTACGAAAACAACATAATCGGAAAAAACGATTATTTTGCTTTGCTAGGTTGTGACAGTGCACCACAACATATTTGATCTAATGAATTTTTTAGTAATGTATCATTTATTTAATTAATTTTGTATTAGTTTTTCAGTTGAATTATACGTTCAGGGTAATCAACAGTTACAAATATACTGTTCAAATTATTATTTGTTTTAAAGTTCAATAAATGGATGTTTTCAAAGTCAATGAATAATCATATTTAATAATCGTGATATTAATTATTGACCAACATAATCTTGATTATTGCCATAATCGAGCAGCCCTAGTGTGTTGTGTTTGTGTGTGTGTGTGTGTGTGTGTGTGTGTGTGTGTGTGTGTGTGTGTGTGTGTGTGTGTGTGTGTGTGTGTGTGTGTGTGTGTGTGTGTGTGTGTGTGTGTGTGTGTGTGTGTGTGTGTGTGTGTGTGTGTGTGTGTGTGTGTGTGTGTGTGTGTGTGTGTGTGTGTGTGTGTGTGTGTGTGTGTGTGTGTGTGTGTGTGTGTCTCTCTGAGAGAGAGTGAGCTATATTCAGAGCTCTGCTGCCTTGGCTACACTATTTCATCGTTGCTGTTGTATGATTGGTGTTTAGCTACGTTATTTAGCGTCTACAGCACCTCCGCTTTTAGGGTTGACGTAGACCCAAACTTCGCCCGGAGGTCCCCCGGTGTTGTTGCGGGAGCTGCTGCACTAGCTAACACTCCACTAGCTAACGCTACATTAGCAAAACAAACGCTAATTTATTTTGCAAAAGGTGCAGCGGGCTTCAAACACGTTCCCTCCACTGGTTTCAACCAAGCACTAAATTAGATGTTTTCCAACAAAATACGGTTGAACTTACACTTCCCCATATTTATTTGTAAGTAGATTCGAAGATAGGCTACATGAGCTGAAGCTTGGTTGCTAGGTTACTAGCTGGGTGTTCTCCAATAAGGGGCCGGGGGAAACAAAGTTAGTGATTACTGGTTCCATGTTGATTTAATTCAATACAAATTGTTGGGGGGAACTGAAAGGCTATTACCGTACTGGTTACTTTGCAGCCCGGACATTTCCCCCAAAACACATTTAGACGCTATCGCAACATAGAAGTATCTTTCAAATCCGATAATTTTTAAGACCTTCTGAATCATATTTAAGACCTTTTAAGGCCTTAAAAACCCTGCTCTGAAGGTTATTTTCATTTTACAAATCCTGCACTCAGCTTTGCTTTCTCCAATATCATTGAAAAGCAGCCAGATGCTGCTTCTTTTTTCGGTTTTCGCTCATTTCTTGACTTTTTCCGACGCGCTTGCATTTAAATCCGTCTCCCCGTCGCTCTGTGCAGCTGGCCTGTACCACTACACATGCTGTGCCCCCCACCCTTCTTTCACATAATGGTATGATCCTAGTGTGTCCTCGCATATGATTGGCCAAATAGTGGGCATGGTGGGCCAGCTAAATAAAGACCCGCCCCTGCCTGCAAGGATTCTCAGCAAGAGTAGGAGCGGCTGAAGATTCTGCTTTCCCCGACGGGAGTCTGCTCTTCTAGCGGCAGCTCGCGATCGGCGTGTTGGAGACCTCTGAATTAAAGTAGCAAGTCACCTCAAGTCAGAAGGCTCAAGTCCAAGTCAAGTCCCGAGTCATTGGTGTTCAAGTCCAAGTCGAGTCGCAAGTCTTTTGTGATGTTGTCAAGTCGAGTCTCAAGTCATAACATGTGTGACTCGAGTCTGACTCGAGTCCAAGTCATGTGACTCGAGTCCACACCTCTGCTTCTTGGCGTGCCGTTGAGATAATTGACTGCCTCTCTTCACTACTGGAGGCATATCGACAGTCGTTTTTAAAGCACATTCAATTGTACGTCACCTCGTACAGGCTGTCTGCTGGGTCCATCTTTGGTTGGTTCGTTCTGTTACGGGTGAGCGAAGCAAGCAGGACCCAGATGCAGATAACACTGAAAATACCTTTATTTCAAGGATACACGGACAAACAGAACACTCCCCGGTGAACACAGTCACAGACAAACGACGAACCAACAATGACAGACAGAAAAAACAGAACTTAAATACACACAGGACTAATCAAGTTAACAAGAGACAGGTGAGGAGGGAGGAGAAAACACAGGGGCACCAGGTGAACACAATCAAGAAAACAGGTAGGAGGGAACAGGTAGGAGGGAACACACACAGACAGGAAACCAAAGACAGATCTAAACAAGACAAAACACAACGCAGACAGAAAACCAAAGACAGATCTAGACAAGACAAAACACAACACAGACAGATCGTGACAGTGTCAATTTGAAATGATTTCTGATAATCCATAAGCAATAAACCTACTTTTCCGTTTTCAGATTTCAGAGCGTGAGATACTGCAAACTGCATGCGCATAGCCCCCACTTTTTTTTGGTAATGTTGGTGTGTATGTGGAAATTCCCCTTCGATTCTATTGGCTCTAACGGTTAAAAAGAGATGTCAATCATCAAAATCGACCAATGGGTTCCAGAGAAACGGCAAAAACGCCCATTTCCACCCAAATCACCCCAGAGGTGGAGTTTTTTTTGCTCAACCTCTCTAAAAAGGTCAAATGTCACTTGTTTTGCATCAATCTTGATACAGGGTACTTATTATATGTTGTACTTTGGATTCCTAAAGCTTTTAGTATACCATCCCATCATTCAAGGGTGGATTTCACTATAAGTAAAAAATTACTTTTGGACGGACACTATAATTTACAGTTTTTTACTATGTTCAATCTGAATTGTCTTTAAAATAAAAACATCTATATTGATTCTGACTTTTCTACATGCAACTCACAGTATTATCATTACTTTGAGAAAAAAGATTATTAATGTTCCCATTTTCGAGCCTGAGACCTGAAAAACAGGGATGGGGTTTAACAGGTTAAATGTTAAGAAGCCCTGAGACACAGTTTCGTGAAAAAAAAACGCAGCCTTCGGGTTTAACAGGTTAATACTATACTGCTGAACCAGCAGAGATTGAGTCGACCCCTTACTGACCTGAGAGTCTCCAGTCTGCAGTCTGGACTCTCCAGCAGATCTCTCAGCAGCTTCACTCCTGAATCCTGCAGATCGTTGTTACTCAGGTCCAGATATCTCAGATGGGAGGGGTTGGACTTCAGAGCTGAGGCCAGAGCAGAACAGCTGATCTCTAACAACCTAGAGTCACTCAGTCTGAATAAAGAACACATGTTCAAATGGTCAGTTTAAACTATTCAGTCAGTATAAGCATCTTTTAGCTTCATAAAAATGTTGGAAGAAGCAAATACTGAATATAGGTTTTTGTGTTTGATTGGAAATACTTATTAATTGTACCTATTTGTCTTTTATATAAAGTAGTAAAATAAAGCTTGACGGAGGTTCAGTGTGAATTATGCAGAGTATAATTATTATTGTAATATTTACATTTAAAGCTGAATATTACTTTGCTACTGTCAGGGAAAAAAACCACTGAAGAAGAAAATAGACTTTAGCATCAAGATACTCAGAGAGGATCAGAATAATATCAGCCTGATGTCTGCAGCTCAGAGTCAACACAACTCTCACATATTAATCTCAGCACAGAAGTTAAAGATGGAGAACTGACCTGAGATCCTCCAGTCTGCAGTCTGGACTCTCCAGAAGATCTCTCAGCAGCTCCACTCCTGAATCCTGCAGATTGTTGTTACCCAGCTCCAGCTCTCTCAGATGGGAGGGGTTGGACTTCAGAGCTGAGATCAGAGCAGAACAGCTGATCTCTGACAAACTGCAGCCCCACAGTCTGAATAAAGAAAACATGATGCAACTTTAGAAAAACTGAGTTTCAGCTTAAAATATTCAAGGTTCAATAATCTGTGTATAGCTGGAGAAGTAGAGAATGTAGGAGTTTATAAAGTGGACATCCTGACAGGTTAAAAACTGTAAGATACAGAAAGAGAAAAGAGCTCTCATTAATATGAAAGACAACGTGCTTCACCTTCAACAAAAAGTGGAGACTTCACATCTGAACCTCTGCTCCATCTACACTAACTCATGATGTGCAGCCAGACTAATAACAACCCACTGAAACTGATTCAACTGAAGATCACACAGTTTACAAATATGACAAATATGTCGGGAGGAATTTTGAAGAAATGTGATTAAAAATAAATAGAGAATATGTATTTTAGGAATAGTGGAGCCATACATCCAAAGCATCTTCAGTTTAAAGTAGTCAGTCAGTATGAGCATCATGTAGCTTCATACAAATGTTTAAGAAAAAGCAAAACCTGAAATGATTGGTTAGTGTTTAATTGTTTTGATGGAAATATGTATTAACTGTATTAAACTGTTTATTATATCATTTATAAAAGAAACCTGATAGAGAATATAAAATGAACTCCAGGTGTTTCAATGTTCAGAGTGAATTATGAAGTGTAGGATTTTCTAGTTATATTTTTAATTTAAAGCTCAACATCAGTCTGCCACAGTCAACACATTTCCTGTAGAATCCCATATGTCTGGTAACAAGTCGCACTGACTAACATGTGGCTTTGCATTGTCAGCTTGCATTATATTGTTCTTGGGAGAATGCAAGAAAATAAACATAAGATGAACAAAAGGAGAAACTGCAGACAATTGGTAACATCCATGATTTGTTGTGCTAAGCTAGGCTACGCCTGGAAGGTGGAACTGGAGAGATTCCCCAGTGAGAGGAACACCTCCACCTCCCTGTGTTTAATATAGTACTGCTGAACCAGCAGAGAGTCGACCCCTTACTGACCCGAGAGCCTCCAGTCTGCAGTCTGGACTCTGCAGAAGATCTCTCAGCAGCTCCACTCCTGAATCCTGCAGCTTGTTGAGACTCAGGTCCAGAAGTCTCAGATGGGAGGGGTTGGACTTCAGAGCTGAGATCAGAGCAGAACAGCTGATCTCTGACAAACTGCTGTCAATCAGTCTGAATAAAGAACACATGATCACATGGTCAGTTTAAACTATTTAGTCAGTATAAGCATCTTTTAGCTTCATAATAATGTTGGAAAAATTAAATACCACAATCCATTTTTAGTCGTTGATAGTTTTAATGGAAATACTTATTAATTGTACTCATTTGTCTTTTATATAATGTAGTAAAATAAAGCTTGACCGAGGTTCAGTGTGAATTATGCACAGACCCGGCGTCATGGGCGGACCCCATGGGGCCGGGCCCACCCATCCAGGATTTGGGCCCGCTGTTTTAATCAGGGCTGAATACAACATTTTTATTGTTTTATTATTATGTTTATTATTTTTATTTGTAGGGCTTTGTCCTAATATTTATTTTAGTTTTAAACTATATTGAAAGATTAGTTTAATATTCATTTTTTGTATTTTGCTATGAAATTCTGAATGAAATTCTGAATGAAAGGCTGCGCGCGGAGACTGGTTTTTCGCTGGGTTGAGTCTCCTCTCTCTCTCTCTCTCTCTCTCTCTCTCTCTCTCTCTCTCTCTCTCTCTCTCTCTCTCTCTCTCTCTCTCTCTCTCTCTCTCTCTCTCTCTCAAATTGGCACAGAGTTACAAATGTGCCACAAAACCAACCAATGGATGTAGCCCATAATAAGACCGTCAACAGCCTTATGGCAACCTAAAATATATGACCTAAAACCCCTCTGTTTCCGTAACAACAATTCACGAGCGCCTGATTATGCAGAGTATTATTCTTATTGTAATATTTACATTTAAAGCTTAATATTCAGGATGATATCAGCCTGATGTCTGCAGCTCAGAGTCAACACAACTCTCACATATTAATCTCAGCACAGAAGTTAAAGATGGAGAACTGACCCGAGAGCCTTCAGTTTGCAGTCTGAACTCTCCAGAAGATCACTCAGCAGCTCCACTCCTGAATCCTGCAGAGCGTTGTTATTCAGCTCCAAAAGTCTCAGATGGGAGGGGTTGGACTTCAGAGCTGAGATCAGAGCAGAACAGCTGATCTCTGACAAACTGCAGCTCCACAGTCTGAATAAAGAAAACATGATGCAACTTTAGAAAAACAAAGTTTCAGCTTAAAATATTCAAGGTTCAATAATCTGTGTATAGCTGGAGAAGTAGAGAATGTAGGAGTTTATAAAGTGGACATCCTGACAGGTTAAAAACTGTAAGATACAGAAAGAGAAAAGAGCTCTCATTAATATGAAAGACAACGTGCTTCACCTTCAATAAAAAGTGGAGACTTCACATCTGAACCTCTGCTCCATCTACACTAACTCATGATGTGCAGCCAGACTAATAACAACCCACTGAAACTGATTCAACTCAAGATCACACAGTTTACAAATATGTCAGGATGAATTTAGAAGAAATGTGATTAAAAATAAATAGAAAGTATTTATTTCAGAAATAGTGGAGCCATACATCCAAAGCATCTTCAGTTTAAACTGCTCAGTCAGTATGAGCATCATGTAGCTTCATACAAATGTGAGAAACAGCTCAAACTGAACATATTTGTTAGTGTTTGATAGTTTTAATATAAATGTTTAATTATTGTATTCATGTGTTTATAATGTCATTTATTTAAAAGAAAAACATGATGGAGAATATAAGATGAATTTGAGGTTTTTAGGAGGTTCAGAGTGAATTATGCAGAGTTTGATTTTTCCTTAACATTGCTCTGCCACTGTCAGGGAAAGAAACCACAGAAGAAGAAAACAGACTTTAGCATCAAGATACTCAGAGAGGATCAGGATGATATCAGCCTGATGTCTGCAGCTCAGTCAACACAACTCTCACATATTAATCTCAGCACAGAAGTTAAAGATGGAGAACTGACTTGAGAGCCTCCAGTCTGCAGTCTGGACTCTCCAGAAGATCTCTCAGCAGCTCCACTCCTGAATCCTGCAGAGCGTTGTAACTCAGGTCCAGATCTCTCAGATGGGAGGGGTTGGACTTCAGAGCTGAGATCAGAGCAGAACAGCTGCTCTCTGACAACCTGCAGCGCCTCAGACTGAATAAAGAAAACATGATGTAACTTTAGAAAAACAATGTTCCTGTTTGAAAAAACTTGAGCAGCGGATTTTCTAGAAAGGGCGCTAACGTCATTTCTGGCCCCGCCCACTTTCATTTGAGCGAAGCAGAAAATAATAGTGTATTCATGTCTTTAAGCTGCTGAGTCATATACTGCACCTCAAACAACAAATAAATCCAGAGCTACAGTTTCTGTACTTCCTCTACAGAAAAAAGGACAGTAAAAGAAACTCAGAAATCTCAGTTTGAGTGTAAACCTGCTGCAGACCCACCGGACATCCATCCCATAATTATTCAGAGTAAATACAAAGCTGTCTCTGCCGTCTGACGCTCTATTTGACACCATTTTCATATTTTTGGAGGAATTGTACAGTTTTTGAAAAACAGAAATATGGTTTTCTGGCATCACTTTAACAATTTACAGGGAAAATCAGCATGTTGGTATGCGGGCGCACGCTGACAGTAAGAGGGTGCAGCACCCCTGTTACCCGGTTTAGACTAACCTGGTAAGGTTTAATAATCGGTTCAGAGCTCAAAATGGTTTCAATGTCAGCAATGATGTGGAAAATCCCTCTCCCACTCCGGCCTCCCTCTACCTGCTCCCTCCTCCAGCTCACCTGTGGCAAATCCTTTCCCCCATGAACAAAGAAGCTGGCTGGCCTCATGCAGCTCCTGAGAACCAATTGTTTGTCTGAGTAAATAATCAGTAAGTTTTCCTTTCCTTTGTAGTTTACCTCCCTATTTTATGTACCGTTTGGATTTGGTTACTTTATTTCTACATTATATATAATAATGTAAAAAGCTAACTGCTTTGCTGGAATATAATTTGAAATATGAATGTTATGTTTGAACTAACTAAGATGTGGTGTACTTTACTACCAGATCAACCAGACAACAATTAAGAGAAACAAGAATCAACAAATTAGAATAAAAACAATGATCTGGAATTCCTGCCTCCATTTGCTCATCTTTAAATCTACTGCGTTGACTGTTTAATTCTTGAACCAACCACCCTCACCACCCTCCATATTTTATATCTGTTCTTCGAATCCTTTATTATAGATTTTGCACCTCTTCTGCTATCACATTCCACATCGCAGAATCTCCGTTCAAACATCAAAACGTTCAGCTCGGTCGGGAATCAATGGCTATTACTTTTCTCATTCATAACTTTCATAATTCCCGAGATATATCCCATAATTCATCACATTTTTAACATGGAAGTCAATGGAGAAATTATTCAGACTTCAACAAATCTTCATGCGACTTTAACTGCTAACTGTTCATTCATACTTTCACTCAGAAACCTCATTCCAACTTTAAAATGTTACACATCTTTCTGTCATTATTCGTGTAACACAACTTTTAAATCTGATTATTACTGTTAGAGATATTAAACATTGTTCAGACCTTGGTAAAGAGTCCTTCTTCAGATTTTAACATTAACTAGAGTTTGTGATGTCACAGCTAGAGTGTAGGACAGCTTAAAATGTGCCTTCATATTTTTTTTTAAACCTGCCATAATTTCCAAACCCTACATTCCTGAGACATAATTTTTCATGACAAACGTAGGAAAACATCTCGTAGCTTGAAAAACGACAAATAATTAACCAAAAATAATTAAACAAAATGCCTCTTGAGGGGATGAAGTGACAAAAACTTTCAACATGTCTCCATTAAAGCCCATTGTAATTTCAGGCTGATATTTCCTCACAGCAGCAGCCGCACACCTTTAGTTAATCTGCCAAAAAGGCCACATTATTGACCCGAAAGTACACAAAAAGCACACTTCAGATACTCAAGGTCCTTGAGATGCTTTAGGCGTTGAAATTTCACTGATATCTGTTATGGTTCTTCAACAAAACGTTCACATGTAACAGGTTTATCTCTCATTCAGAACAATGAAAATGCTCTCCTCTAACTGATTACTGTACATCACCATGGAAACCTTTCATCTCTGGACACCTCGTTAGCTAAAATATAAACACCTGTGTCATGGAACACGATGATGTCATAACTCCAACTGACATGCTCAGAGCACCAGACTTCAGATAATGGTTAACGGTCCTGCCCTCAACAGCTCTACGTCAATTATGGGGTGTCGTCATATGCCGTTTCCATGGAAACGTATCCCTTAAAAGACGATATCGCTTTACATTAACTCCTATGAAAATGTTCAAACAGTGCTCAAACTTCACATGTGTGCTAACAGTCCAGCCATGACGACATCTACGTGAGAGTTTTGAGATTTATTCAAATGCCGTTGCCATGGTAACACAAGGCTCGCCATGAAACACGGTTTTCTCATAACTTCAGTGAAAATGCTCCAAACGGCCCAAAACTTCACAGGTTTGGTAACGATGCAGCCATCAACACATCTAAGCGTATTATGGGGTGTCAACAAATATAGTTGCCATGGCGACAGATCATTCGCCATCAAGTTGGTTCAGAAGTTTGCTGTTCAAATATTCTGCTGCTTCTCCAAGCCTTTTTACTTTCTTTTCTTCTCTCATCACATATTCCAGCCCCCAGTGTTCATGTATCATTTCAATCTAAATTATTCACTTTCTTCTTACACATTACATTTCAACATAGCAGTTTCGCGTCAACTTTTCAGCATAAACATTCCCACTAGCAATTTCTTCAGGAATTGCATTCTCTAGTGCTACGCACCAAATTATTTATTATTCCGCCGGGTTATTTTGCGCTGCTTCTTCTCCCACATTGAACATCGCAGAAACTCCGTTCAAACATCAAAACGTTCAACTCGGTCGGGAATCGATGGCTATTACTTTTCTCATTCATAACTTTCATAATTCCAGAGATACATCCCATAATATATCCAATTTTTAACATTGAAGTCAATGGAAAACTCTTCAGACTTCAACAATCTTCATGCAATTTCAACTGCTAACTGCTCTTTCTTCAACTGCTAACTGCTCCTTCATACTTTCACTCAGAAACCTCATTCCAACTTTAAAATGTTACACATCTTTCTGACATTATTCGTCTAACACAACTTTTAAATCTGATTCGTACTTTCTGAGATATTAAACATTGTTCAGACCTTGGTAAAGAGGCCTTCTTCAGATTTTAGAGTGCGTGATGTCACAGCTAGAGTGGAGGACAGATTTAATTGTGCCTTCATATTTTCTTTTAAACCTGCCATAATTCCCAAACCCTACATTCCTGAGACATCATTTTTCATGAAAAATGTAGGAAAACATCTCGTAGCTTGAAAGATAAAAAACAATTAAGCTAAATCATTAAAATAAAATGCCTCTTGAGGGCATGAAGTGACAAAAACGTTCAACATGTCTCCATTAAACTCCATTGTAAATTCAGCCTCACCTTTCCCCACCACAGCAGCCGCACACCTTTAGTTAATCTGCCAAAAAGGCCACATTATGAACCCGAAAGTACACAAAAAGTACACTTCAGATGCTCAAGTTCCTTGACATGCTTCACGCTTTGAAATTTCACCGATATCTGTTACGGTTCTTCAACAAAACGTCCACATGTAACAGGTTTATCTCTCATTCAGAACAATGAAAATGCTCTCCTCTCACTGATCACCATGGAAACCTTTGATCTCTGGACACATCATTAGCTCAAATATAAACACCTGTGTCATGGAACACGATGATGTCATCACTCCAATTGCCATAATTAGAGCAGCAGACTAATGACGTTGTCACTGGAGTTTAACACACTGTCTCAGCCTATTATTTTCCGTCTGATGGAGACTTCATACTAACTTCAACATGTTCCAAATATTTTAGACATTATTGGTGACGTATGCTTTTAGTTCTAAAGTTTTCAGTTCAAATATTCTGCTGCTTTTTCATGCATTTAGACTTTTATTTTCTTGTTCTTATTTCACATTCAAGTCCCCTCTATTCATGAGCCCTTTAAAGTACTCAGCCACACCACTTATATACCACGTGTGACTGTTGCTATGTGAGTTAATCTTTCAAATACAAGGTCGATTGTTTGATTCAAGCTCTTGTAGTCAATATGTCAAGGTATTTATCCCTAACATTTTATCAGCTAACTAATGACACACACTCAGAGGATCTTTATAAACGTTTTAAGTATTGCACATCTTTAAACATGACTCTTATAAATCACTTTTAAAACCAGCGATGCACTAGTGTCAGCTTTTCTAAAATAGAAACTTCAATGTTCACAACTTTCTAAATGATTCTACTTTTCAATGATCTACAAATAATCCTAATAATAATCCCATTTTCAATTTTCCAACTGTTCATATTTTTTGGTCAATCAACAAACCTGTTACAAATGTGTTGTTCAACAAATTTGAGCCTTTGCCACATTTATTTGATCACCATGGAAACCTTTGATCTCTGGACACGTCGTTAGCTCAAATATAAACACCTGTGTCATGGAACACGATGATGTCATAACTCCAACTGACATGCTCAGAGCAGCAGACTTCAGATAATAGTCCTGCCCTCAACAGCTCTACATCAATTATGGGGTGTCATCATATGCCGTTTCCATGGAAACGCATCCCTCGCCATAAGACACGATGTCGCTGTAACTCCAATGGACACGGTCCCACAATCGTCACCTGTACATCACCTCTCCATGCCTCAACAGCTCTACGCCAAATCTGACATCTCACCATATGCCGTTTCCATGGAAACGCATCCCTCGCCATAAAACACGATGTTGTCGTAACGCCTATGAAAAGGGTCAAAACAGCACCACACTTCAGATAATGGTTAACGGTCCAGCCCTCAACAGCTCTACGTCAATAATGGGGTTTCATCACATGCAGTTTCCATGGAAACGCATCCCTCGCCATGAAACACGGTTTTCTCATAACTTCAGTGAAAATGCTCCGAATGGCCCAAAACTTCACAGGTTTGGTAACGATGCAGCCATCAACACATCTAAGCGTATTATGGGATGTCATCAAATGCTGTTGGAATGGCGACAGATCATTCGCCATCAAGTTAGTTCAAAAGTTTGCAGTTCAAATATTCTGCTGCTTTTCCAAGCCTTTTTACTTTCTTTTCTCCTCTTATCACACATTCAAGCCCCCAGTGTTCATTTATCATTTCAATCTAAATTCTTCACTTTCTTCTTACACATTACATTTCAGCATAGCAATTCAGCATCAGCTTTTCAGCATAAAGCATTCCCACTAGCAATTTCTTCAGGAATTGCATTCTCTAGTCTTGAAATTATGTAGATTCAAAACAATTGATAAGTTCAAACTCTCTGCCGCAGTTTTTCTTTGCAACTTATTTTACCTCATTCATCTCCCTCACAGCTCATCAGTACTGACAGCATCTTCACTAACTTATGGAGCACAGTGAGAGTGAAGGCTGAAAATATATCTCAGATGAGAGCAGTTAGACTTCAGAGTCACACATTTACTTTCTTTGCTTTTTGTTGTTCTTTAAAATATTCAGCCATTTAGAAAGAAACATAATTTTTTTTAAATGTATTTGTACTCTTAGTACTAAACTCTGGAATTAGAAATAATATAAATGATAAATAAATAATAATCCACATGAACTACAGCCAGAGATCTGACCTGAGAGTCTCCAGTTTACAGTTTGGACTCTTTAGTCCAGAACTCAGCATCTCCACTCCTGAATCCTGCAGCTTGTTGCCTCTCAGGTCCAGCTCTCTCAGGTGGGAGGGGTCGGACTTCAGAGCGAAGGCCACGACTTCACAGTCAGAGTCTGAGATTCCACGGTTATGAAATCTGCAATGACACATATATTACAGCATATGTTATTATAAAACAGGGGGAAACATTACATTTACTTCATGCATTTGTTGAAAAAACATTTTGAATATAATGTTTTGAATAACTCTGACGTTAGTACAATTCATATTGTATTGAGTTTGCTTTAAGCGTTTTCAGTGTGATCTGATCCCATGTTTGTCCCGTCGGACCTACCTTCTGCTGTCAGTGAACAGAAATGAAACAAATCGACAAAATAAGAGATTTACATAATGAAATGTTAATATATTTGGATGTGCATGACAAGGAATGCATAATGTGTTTCTCAAAGCATCTAAGAATGTATAATGCACACAAACATATTGAACAAACCAATAGGTTTCCATTATTTTCAACAAAACACCATGAAAAAGACGTTATCTATGTATCAGCGTTAAAACACAATCTGACCTCTGTTATTGGTGGGATTATGTAGATCTTGTTTTAAAAGAGTCAACATAAATCAGATATTACTCTGTGTCTGATTTAACTATTAACAAACTGCAGTAATGTAATAATAACTTTACTGCATTCACGGATATCTGTGAAATACTGTTGTATGTTGTGATCACAAGTTGCTGTGATAAATCATAAGTCCTTAAGAAAAATGAAGAAAATAAAAACTGAAACATTTTTAATTATTATAATAATTAAATGTTGCAGTCACAGTATTTGAAACAGCAACAAGATGTATAGTGTTTATTCTAAAACTAAACTTAATATCTACATTAGTTTATAAAGTTAATCACATCTGGACTCACACAGCCTTGCTGCTGTTCCCCAAAGCTGGAATCACTCTCTGTCGTCCCTCCTCTGATGTTTCGTACTTCTCGTGGTCCAACTCATCCCGAATCTCCTCTGACATCTGCAGCATGAAGGCCAGAGCAGAGCAGTAGATCCCAGGGAGTTTCTCTGATCTATTCTCTGACTTCAGAAAATCTGTGATCTCCTGATGGACTGAGTGGTCCTTCATCTCTGTCAGACAGTGGAAGATGTTGATGCTCCTATCGGGAGAGATTTTATCGCTGCTCATCTTCTTCAGGTTGTTGATGGCTCTCTGGATGGTTTCTGGACGGTTGTCTGTGCGACCCAGCAGGCCTCCTAACAGTCTCTGGTTGGACTCCAGAGAGAGGCCGTGGAGAAAGCGGACAAACAGGTCCAGGTGGCCATTTTCACTTCTGTGGGATTTCTCCATTGCTCCCTCCAGGAAGAAATCCAGGGATGGGTAATCCTGATCACTGTTATACCTGTTGCTATAGTCTCCCTGCAGGAAGTCCTTCAGTACCGCTGTGTCTCTGTTGGTGTAACAGTGCAACATGTAGACTGCAGCCAGAAACTCCTGAATGCTCAGATGAACAAAGCAGTAGACTGTTTTCTGGAAGATCACACTCTCTCTTTTGAAGATCTCTGTACAAACTCCTGAGTGCACCAAGGCCTCGGTAACACCAAGACCACAGCGCTGCAGGTCTTCTTGGTAGAACATGATGTCTCCTTTCTCCAGATGTTCAAACGCCAGCCTCCCCAGCTTCAGAAGAAGCTCCCTGTCAGCCTCCGTCAGCTGCAGTGGACTCGTCTCATGTCCCTCTTCATACTTCTGCTTCTTCTTCTTTGTCAGGACCAGCAGGAAGTGTGAGTACATGTCAGTGAGGGTCTTTGGCAGCTGTCCTCTCTGGTCTGTAGTCAACATGTGGTCCAGAACTGCAGCAGTGATCCAGCAGAAGACTGGGATCAGACACATGATGTGGAGGCTCCTGGAGCTCTTGATGTGAGAGATGATTCTGCTGGACAGGTCTTCATCACTCGATCTCCTCCTGAAGTACTCCTCCTTCTGGGCGTCAGTGAAGCCTCGTACTTCTGTCACCCTGTCCACACACTCAGGAGGGATCTGATTGGCCGCTGCAGGTCTGGAAGTTATCCAGACGAGAGCCGAGGGAAGCAGCTTCCCCCTGATGAGGTTTGTCAGCAGCACGTTGACTGAGGACTGCTGTGAGACATCAGACACAAACTCATTGTTTCTGAAGTCCAGAGAAAGTCTGCTTTCATCCAGGCCGTCAAAGATGAGCAGCACTTTGCAGACAGCCAGCTGCTCTGCTGTGACCTTCTGTAAGGTTGGATGGAAAACATGGAGCAGCCTGAGAAGACTGTACTGCTCACCTTTGATCAGGTTCAGCTCCCTGAAGGAGAGCGGGATCACCAGACTGACATCTTGGTTTCCCAAACCCTCGGCCCAGTCCAGAGTGAACTTCTGCACTGAGAAAGTTTTTCCAACTCCAGCGACTCCGTTGGTCAGGACCGCTCTGATGGGAGTCTGTTGGTCAGGTAAGGCTTGAAAGATGTCCTGGCACTTGATTGGAGTGTCATGGAGGGGTCTTCTTCTTGAAGCTGTCTCCAGCTGCCTCACCTCATGTTGGGTATTAATCTCTTCACTCAGGCCTTGTGTGATGTAGAGCTCGGTGAAGATCCTGTTGAGGAGGGTTTCACTTTGATCAGTTCCTTCAGTCACATGTTCACATCTCCTCCTCAGACTGATGCCTATGTTCATCTAAAACCTCCTGCAGACCACTATCTGCTGAAGGAGATGGAAGCATGTGAGTAATACAAATAAAACAAATAAATAAAAGGGTTCAGAAAGAATGTCTTTGCTGTAACAAATAAAGCAGGAAGAACCCTGTTTTCAGACATGAAGACCCCAGCAGACAGATATTTAGACTTACTTCGTACAGTGCTGGTCTGACTGGCTCTCTGCACTCCAGCTCTTGTTCTGGACCTCTTCCCTCTGTTGAGATGAACACATCCTTTATAGCGCAGGTATATGTACATAATAAAAACATCTTCCTGTCTGCATTCATAACATAATTCAAAGTTGGACTCAAAGCAACTCACACATCATCAAAATTAGGGCTGGGCGATACGGCCTGAAAATAATATTGCAATATTTTTAACCTGTATCGCGATACACAATATAAATTGCGGTATTTTGAAATCCTGTTACCCAATACACCAGTATGAGGATTGTTAAATTAAGACATTAAGGGCTATTCATGATCATTTGCATCTTGTCTTCATCTATTGTACATCGTGGATCACGTTGGAACTTTCAAAACACCAAACACAGTAGCCACACAAATGCTCGCTCAGTCTGGTCCACAAAACCCTGCTCCTCCTCGGGAATAATGCTGAACCAGACGGGCTCGGAGGTAAAGACGGGTGAGGGTCTTTCCGGACGCAGACCCGTGCACTGAGGACAGCCATAAACTGTAGAGGACAGCCCGCTAGGGGAAGCAGTGAGGTCTCTTGTTTGTACCATACAGAGTCTATGGTTCATACACATAAATGAAAAACACTGATTTAATATGAGGTACTGTAAAGCTCTGGCTGCTGATGTTTTCCTTTACTGATTCAACGTCAGCACGTCAGTGACGACAGAAGCAGAATCTCAATGCTGACAGGTTTGTGCGTCAGAGAGTCACACAAATATCTCGATCAAGTTGACATTTTCAAGTTGCAGCTATACGCGGGTAGTGGATCGCCGGAGCTGTTAGATTAACATTAACATGCTTATTAAGTGCAATGCCTTGCGGCCTGTACCACCATCCTTGATGGAGCATATGTGTGGGACCTGTATTTTACAGGAAAGGAGTGAGCAGAGGGTAGATTCTTGTTCTGTTTTCTGTGACTATCTTCCTCACCATGCTGAACACCCTCTCAGACTTTCAGTTGCGCGCGCTACTAAAGAGACGCGCTACCAAAGAGACGCGCTACCATGGAAACCAAACAATGGTGTAGCTTTATTAAAGTCCGAGTGGAAACAGTCGTGAGTAAATCTGATTTTGTCAGAAATCGGGAGAAATGCGGGAGAAATAAAGCTACAAACGGAAATATGACCCCGGGAGGAAACCGGGAGAGGGCAATGGAATTGGGAGTTTCCCGCGAAAATTGGGAGAGTTGGCAAGTATGAGTATAGGCGAATCCACCCGCAAATAGGGTGGGAAGACATTTTTTTTTCAAAATGTTGTCTCCATCCTCGGCTCTGTGTGCGTGTGGCATAGCACATTTTGTGTGAGGGAGTGAGACAGAGAGAGGGCACTAGTCACAGGGATTGTTGTTAGCATCCATAGACTGTATATCCAGGGTTTCACATAACTTTTTTAGTGACTTACTCAGATGAGTACCAGGAGACAGCGTTTGGTACTCACCCCACACGTAGCGTGGTTTTAATAAGCGCAGTCTTATCCTCACTATCCTTAACACTTTACTGTGTTTCTTTACTGTGTTCTTCTCTCTGAGTGTTTCGAACTGAAACTCTGCCGCACGGTCCCCTCGTCCCTTGGAAGAGGCGGAGAGGTGGGTGTTTGTCATCTGCTGGTGGACTACTGGAGAGAATTAAAGCAGCAGGAGCAAACGCTTGCCTCGGGGAGGGAGAAAAAGAGCCACAGCGGAGAATAAACAGAAGGGCACCCATGGCAACCATGCACTTCGTCTTCTTCGCTGCTTTTGTGGCAGACTACAGCGCCACTTACAGGCCTGGCATATGTACTACAATCTCTCCAGCGCTTTCGAGCGGTCTCGTGTGAATGGACACGTCTCGTTTGAACGGAAACTATTCCGGGCTGATGTCGGGTCGGATGAAATCTGTATCCGCTCGTTGTTGCCCCGTTTTTAAAAGATTTGGGTACGGAAGAAAAGAGAGAGGGTTGTATTTTCTGACACTTGGTGAGTTCCCTGGAACAGTGTACTCTTTTGTCCTTTACTGTGTGTCTTTAGTATACTCTTCTGTACTTTACTGTGTGTCTTTAGTGTACTCTTCTGTCCTTTACTGTGTTTCTTTAGAGTACTCTTCAGTCCTTTACTGTGTTTCTTTAGTGTACTCTTTGTCCTTCATTGTGTTTCTTTAGTGTACTCTTCTGTCCTTTACTGTGTGTCTTTAGTGTACTCTTCTGTCCTTTACTGTGTTTCTTTAGTGTACTCTTCTCTCTGAGTGTTTAGATGGTTTAAATCAGTCTCAGTGGGTCTCAAACATATTGGACACCATTAACAACACCCTGCCCACCAAGTTCTTACTCTAGTTTAGATGATCAGATAACATAAACACTGAATCCTCTTCAGGTCAGTTCACAGGAGAAACAGACTCTCACTTTGTTTCTGAGGGTCCAGGTTGATCCCGGAAGTCCATAAATCTGCCTATAGACTGGTCACTCTTCAGAGACAGGCAGCTGGGGACTGGAGACTCTGCTCTTCGTCTGCAGAAACAGAAAATGTTTTACACACATCATTGGATTTGAAAAGAGCAGCTGAACCTGATTAAAGATTTTTGGACTTGCTCTGAACTTTCTGTTTTTGAGTCATGCTTGTAGGTTTCAGTCTTTACAATTCATTTGTGAGGATCAATAGTTTTACATGTTTTATTCACTTAACTTAAAGTGGACCTATCATGCTATATTTGAAACATATATTGTAGGGCCATACCTATATAAAAAATGTCTGTGAAGTTTTTTTTTCAAAATACCAAACAGATCATGCATTTTAGCCATGCCTCATTTCGCTCTATTTGCTCTTTTCCAGCCTTGTTTTTGCAAGTGCCGAATCTGTGACTTAACTTTAATGCAAATGAGCTGCAGCTGACCACGCCCCCCTGCAGGAGAGGGGAGCGTGCTCTGAGATCAGCTGCTGGGCTCTCAGAAGAGGGGGAGGAAAAGAGAGGCTCCGTCCTCTGTGTTTTACTCTTATATTATTACATAGAGTCATTATTCATTTGTTTTAAAGGTCAATAAATAACAAAGAAGACCCTCTGACCGGCACTTTTCTAATTTTGTCAGGAAGATTTAAACTTTAACGGACATGTTGACCGGCGATAAAAAATCTAACTGAAACTCTGCCGCACGGTCCCCTCGTCCCTTGGAAGAGGCGGAGAGGTGGGTGTTTTTCATCTGCTGGTGGACTACTGGAGAGAATTACAGCAGCAGGAGCAAACGCTTGCCTCGGGGAGGGAGAAAAAGAGCCACAGCGGAGAATAAACAGAAGGGCAACCATGGCAACCATGCACTTCGTCTTCTTTGCTGCTTTTGTGGCAGACTACTGCGCCACTTACAGGCCTGGCATATGTACTACAATCTCTCCAGCGCTTTCGAGCGGTCTCGTTTGAATGGACACGTCTCGTTTGAACGGAAACTATTCCGGGCTGACGTCGGGTCGGATGGAATCTGTATCCGCTCGTTGTTGCCCCGTTTTTAAAAGATTTGGGTACGGAAGAAAAGAGAGCGGGTTGTATTTTCTGACACTTGGTGAGTTCCCTGGAACAGTGTACTCTTTTGTCCTTTTCTGTATTTCTTTAGTGTACTCTTCAGTCCTTTACTGTATTTCTTTAGAGTACTCTTCAGTCCTTTACTGTGTTTCTTTAGTGTACTCTTCTCTCTGAGTGTTTAGATGGTTTACATCAGTCTCAGTGGGTCTCAAACGTATTGGACACCATTAACAACATCATGCCCTCCAAGTTCTTACTCTAGTTTAGATGATCAGATAACATAAACACTGAATCCTCTTCAGGTCAGTTCACAGGAGAAACAGACTCTCACTTTGTTTCTGAGGGTCCAGGTTGATCCCTGAAGTCCATAAATCTGTCTATAGACTGGTCACTCTTCAGAGACAGGCAGCTGGGGACTGGAGACTCTGCTCTCCGTCTGCAGAAACAGAAAATGTTTTACACACATCATTGGATTTTGAAAAGAGCAGCTGAACCTGATTAAATATGTTTGGACTTGCTCTGAACTTTCTGTTTTTGAGTCATGCTTGTAGGTTTCAGTCTTTACAATTCATTTGTGAGGATCAATAGTTTTACATGTTTGTGTTTTATTCACTTAACTTAAAGTGGACCTATCATGCTATATTTGAAATATATATTGTAGGGCCATACCTATATAAAAAATGTCTGTGAAGTTTTTTTTTTCAAAATACCAAACAGATCATGCATTTTAGCCATGCCTCATTTAGCTCTATTTGCTCTTTTCCAGCCTTGTTTTTGCAAGGGCCGAATCTGTGACTTAGCTTTAATGCAAATGAGCTGCAGCTGACCACGCCCCCCTGCAGGAGAGGGGAGCGTGTTCTGAGATCAGCTGCTGGGCTCTCAGAAGAGGGGGAGGAAAAGAGAGGCTCCGTCCTCGGTGTTTTATTCTTATATTATTACCTAGAGTCATTATTCATTTGTTTTAAAGGTCAATAAATAACAAAGAAGACCCTCTGACCGGCACTTTTCTAATTTTGTCAGGAAGATTTAAACTTTAATGGACATGTTGACCGTCGATAAAAAATCGAACTGAAACTCTGCCGCACGGTCCCCTCGTCCCTTGGAAGAGGCGGAAAGGTGGGTGTTTGTCATCTGCTGGTGGACTACTGGAGAGAATGACAGTAGCAGGAGCAAACGCTTGCCTCGGGGAGGGAGAAAAAGAGCCACAGCGGAGAATATACAGAAGGGCAACCATGGCAACCATGCACTTCGTCTTCTTCGCTGCTTTTGTGGCAGACTACAGCGCCACTTACAGGCCTGGCATATGTACTACAATCTCTCCAGCGCTTTCGAGCGGTCTCGTGTGAATGGACACGTCTCGTTTGAACGGAAACTATTCCGGGCTGACGTCGGGTCGGATGGAATCTGTATCCGCTCGTTGTTGCCCCGTTTTTAAAAGATTTGGGTACGGAAGAAAAGAGAGAGGGTTGTATTTTCTGACACTTGGTGAGTTCCCTGGAACAGTGTACTCTTTTGTCCTTTACTGTGTGTCTTTAGAGTACTCTTCTGTCTTTACTGTGTTTCTTTAGTGTACTTTACTGCGTTTCTTTAGTGTACTTTACTGCGTTTCTTTAGTGTACTTTACTGCGTTTCTTTAGTGTACTCCCTTCACTCTTGTGCCAGGCTCAAACCACCATGCAAAACGTATCAAGAGAGGTCAGTGTGAACGAGAAACAGACTCTTACTTCCGGTCTGAGGGCTGTGGTAGATTACTGATTGCTGGAGGTAAGTCAATAGACCCGTCACTCTTCAGAGACAGACAGCTGGAGACGGAAGATGTGTCCTCCTCCTCATCTTTTGAATCACTCATCTTCTCCAGTATGACAGATACACCAGTAACACTGCAGACACACACACACACACACACACACACACACACACACACACACACACACACACACACACACACACACACACACACAATTTGACATCATCATTTAATAAAAACATCATAATGACAAACTTTGATTTCAATACAACCCATAAGTCAGACTTCTCACAGGTTGCTCATGTAACTATCATAGGAGGCTGTGGCTCAGTGAGGTAGTGCGCTGAACTTCTGATTACTGCAGTCAGCATGACATGGGTTTTCCCAAATCCTGTCGCTTTGGATAAAATCAGAGAGGGCAAGAGTACACAGGATATCCATCATTTTTGCCCTTTGACGTTTATGACCAACCCTGACGTTTTGGAAGAATGTGCTTTTGAATAATTTTGGTGAATATTTAAAGTGTAAAATCTTCAATAAATATGGTATAATCTTCAATAACGTCACTATTATACAGTATATTTCTACCAATCTCACAACACACGTCTGACCACCAGGAGACTATTGATGTGTGTAGTGAGTTTGGTAGCACTCCACTGTATAATAGTAACGTTATTGAAGATTATACCATATTTATTGAAGATTTTACATTATAAATCTTCCCCAAAATTATTCCGAACCACATTCTTCCAAACTCTCTGCTGTAGTCTGACCACCAGGAGACTATTGATGTGTGTAGTGAGTTTGGTAGAAATATACTGTATAATAGTGAAGTGATTGAATATTATTGTATTTTCTTTTTTCGGAGAATGCACTTTGCAGACGGTCTATGAGCACTTGTTTCTTCTCCGGCTGCGGATAGAGACCAATGTAATGTGTCCAGCTCGGAGGACAGCGCATATTGACTTTTTTTTAAATCAAAATGTGATTGTAGTTCGTTGTCAACCTTACCACGGTAGCCTACTTGGGAGACGTAATTTGTGTCTGAATAACGTTTTGTTCATGAGTTATTGATCCGTGAAATCCGAATCTGCCAATATCGTTCTAACTTTACTCAACTGTCTGAGTTCTGGTGCCGACAGGAAAGAGATATTCCGGCTGTCTGTGATCTGGTGTTTGTCGTCACTTCACAAGCAGTGCGCGTTGCTGCTCGAAAGTTAAACTACTTTCAACAAAGGACGTTCACAGCAGTTGATTTGAGCACGCAAAAACGGAGCCGGAGCATCAGCACTACAGCCCTTTATCCCCCCCCCCCCCCATACTTTGAAGGCCGGTCAGTGAAAATATTGTCGGTCCAGGAAATGAAAAAGTTAAATATATTTGAAAAAGTCACACTCAACTCTACGTTGCTGATTTTGTATCACGTCAGTAAAAATAGTTGTTTGTGACATAGGCCTACAGTATGACAGAGTAATAATAACGTATTAAAAACCCAGCAGAGACTGGTTTTAACCATAGGTTTTAACCAACACTCACCCTGTTGCTCCTCCTCTGTCGAAGTGTAAAATGGAGTCTGATTTCATCCCTTTCGATGTCCCTCCTTATCTGCAGCTCCTCCCTCTGTTTATCAGCAGAGCTGGGAGAAACACTCATGTCTTGTACTTGAGTAAAAGTAGAAGTACTCAGATCTTGTTCTTGAGTAAAAGTAGAAGTACTCAGGTCTTGTACTTATGTTTATGTTTATTAAGGATCCCCATTAGCTTTTGCTCTTGACAAAAGCTACTCTTCATGGGGTTCGACACTTAAAACAATACAACAATAATACAACAATAATACAACAATAATACAACAATAATACAACAATAATACAACAACATTCAAGACATAATTCCTGACATCATTAACAACATCACCAATATCATCAACAATTTCCAACATCATCAACAATCTCATCCACTTTCAATATCAATCTCAGCCAAGGATGAGTGCACAAGACACCCACCAGTACAAAGCATGAGATCAAATTTAATTTAATTTAATTTAATTAGGGTTCACAGTTCACAAGGGTACATGGTCATTAGTAGATGGCCCTTCAATCTCTTCTTGAAAGAGGCTCTGGACTCTATTTCAGTAAGGTAGTTTAGCAATAAGTTCCATTCCTTTATAGCTCTATAAGACACAGAAGATTTCAGAAGATTTGTCCTGGGTTTAGGTGCCCGTAGATGGCCTGATGTAGCTTGTCTAGTCCTATGGTCATGCTCGTCTCTTGTGTAAACTATTTGATCATAAAAATACAGTGGTCTTTAGCTAAATTGGAATTTTTTTAGAAAAGTGGTAACACAAGATTGCAGACTTTTCTCACCCGGAAGCCATGATAGGTTTGTATGCATAACTCCAATATGAGTGCGCTTCGAACAGTGGAGAGCTAGTCTGGCAGCCTTGTTTTGAGCTATTTGTAATTTCTGTATATGTGTTTTTGCTGCTGATGACCATATGACCGGACAGTACTCAAGATGTGACAAAACCAGAGACTGAATGACTTGTTTCAAAGTGGTTGGTGTTACATACTTTGTACATTTTCTCGTCACAGCTATGCTCCTTCCCATTTTAGTTATGATACTGTACTTGAGTAAAAGTAGAAGTACTCAGATCTTGTTCTTGAGTAAAAGTAGAAGTACCAGAGTGTAGGAATACTCTGTTACAGTAAAAGTCCTGCATTCAAAATGTTCCTCAAGTAAAAGTAGAAAAGTATTATCATCAAAATAAAGTTATATATGATGTGTTTAATGATTGATCATTAAAGTGTTCTCAAAGCTGGTAAAGGTGCAGCTAGTTTAAATGACTGTGTATACTGCAGGGTAGCTTGTGAATTTACTCCAGGTGGAACTAAAGTCTGATTTAACACTTGATTATATTTCAAATCATTCATCCAAATCTGTAAAGTAACTAAAGGTATTAAATACTTGTAGTGGAGTAAAAGTACAAATGCAGGACTTTTACTTCTAACAGAGTATTCCTACACTCTGGTACTTCTACTTTTACTCAATTACAAGATCTGAGTACTTCTACTTTTACTCAAGTACAAGATCTGAGTACTTCTTCCACCTCTGATTGGTTGAAATAATCCTCCTTACAATTCCATGCTACGTCAGTTATTCTCATGTTTTATTTTTGAAAAACTTCTCCCGGAAGTAGTATGGAACCTTTTCACTCATGCATTAGCTGACAGAAGTGCATCCCTGTTCCCGAGGAGAAGAACAACAAAGTCCCACCATGGCTGTTTTGTGGAATACATTGTGACAACTACCGACAAGATGATGAACGACATCATAGAGGAACCGGAGAAGGACACTCTGCTGGAGCCGCAAGTCTTCCCGGTAATGTCTGCTAAAGATAGCCCGGCTAACGCTAACTTGTAAATAGAAACTGGGAGGCTAGTTGAAGACGGTTTTTATGAATGGGCGTAGTGGCCTAATGGCGGTACTACAACTCCAAGGATGTCACTGGTATAAAAACAGCTATATTACAGCAGCAAACTGAAGTATAATAATTAATAAAGCACAATAAATAATGAAATCCGGGCAAGTTATGTGGAACAACGACACAAAGGCTAAGGTTTATAATAAACTCAGACTGCGCATGCGCCATGGGCTCACATCTGTGTAATTTCTGAACCTACAGTCTCTCTATTTTTGGCTTCATGCGCCACTGAGCAACTCTCATAGGAATGAACGCCTCTCTCTCTTTATTCATCCATAGGCTAGCTGCTAGCTGGTTAGCTTAGCATGTGATTTTGACAGTTGTTTATATTAGTCGCGTTTACAAAATGAAGTGTTTCTCTTTCTCGTATTACAATGCTAAGATTGAGTTTGATTGACATTAAGTGACATTATATAGTTGGCCCATAAACACCTACAGTGTTATACTTTCTTATTCCATAAACAGAACTGCTGGGGACATCTGGAGGAGTTTTCACTTTTTTAGAGACCGTTATGGAGTAACTTATGTAGAAGTGGAAGAACTACTTAGATATCTAATTTAAGTAAAAGTAGCTTAATAGAAAACATACTATGTTACAAGTAAAAGTCCTGAATTAAAAAATGATTGCCTCAAAAGTACTTATTGTGTGTTATGTCCCATTTTAAAGTTATATACATGAATGTGTATCAATGATCATCCCAGCTTGTACAGGTACTGGTACTGTTTACTTTAACAAATTGGATTTTAATTTGTTTAAGCATTAGTTATGGCAGCTGGTAAAAGAAGAGCTATTTTAAACGATGCATACAGTGTTTGTTAGAGCAATGTTTACTTTAATATTTATTTTATTAGCTTTTCTTTTTAATGACTGATTTTAAATGCCATTTTCGTAATGTCTTTCATTTTTTGTAAAGCACTTTGAATTAGTGATGGCAGTTTGACACTGAAGCTTCGAACGGAGCTTCAACCCTGGACTTCCTATTCCATAGAAGCAGTGCTTCGAAGCTTGCTTCAAATCACGTGACATATGACGTCCGAAGCAGCAACTGCTTCAAATCACGTGACATGTGACGTCCGAAGCAGCAACTGCTTCATTTCCTGAATGAATCACTTGACTGGTTCGCGGTCTATTCACGCGATTCAATGCACTGCCTCGTCTCGATTCTGACAGGTTGAAACAGTTTCAAATTTGAGCGCTTCAACACTTTATGACCGCTCTAAACAATGCACAATGTGTGGGTTGTTGTCGTAGTTTGCGTTGTTGCTGTTGAGTTGTTGTTGGTATTGCATTTGAATTGTAGTATCATTATAGAGCAAGCCAGGAAGTAAGATAGGTCGTTCTGGCTCGGGAAACACTTCGAAATGTGGAGAAGTTGTGAACAAAAAGACAATTATCAGTAATATAAAAACAGTCCAATAATTTAAGGAATAGATAGCCCAGTGGGTAGAGCCGGCGGCCCGAATGCGGCGATGTCCTCCGCGCAGCTGGTTCAAATCCCGGAATGGATGTATTTTAATCATTGCTTTTCAACTTTAATAACTGATAAAAGGCCCTCTCCACCCAAAAACATGTCTAGCACTCTCTAGTCTCTTCTCAATAACCCAATACACACAATTATCAATCTTTAATTGCAAATAGAACATGATATTCAGTCTTACGGCCCGTCCACACAGCGGCGTGCGTTGAAGCTTCCAACGCTTCTGCCCATTCACTTTGAATGGGGTGACGTCACTTTTAGCCGAACTGCATTTTGGGAAGCGACGTGGAGCGTTGCTGGCGTAGCTGGCGTCAAAAGTTGAGCAATGTTCAACTTTTGACGCCTCGACGGAGGCGTCAGCCAATGAAATCCTGTTTATTCAAATCTGCCAGTACAATCGCTAGCCAATCAAACCGCGTGTATGCTGGGAGAGACTGCGCAGGTCATTTCCTCATATTCAAACAAATTGAGGGAAAATTGATTATAGCGGTAGTGAATCACCCGGTGCTGTATGATCAGTCTCTGTTCATCTACCGGGATACAAACCGGAGGAGCGAGGCATGGAGGGAGGAGGCAGAGACAGTGGGTGAAACTGGTAGGTTTTCGCCTGTTTGGGGATTTTATATCCAGTTTACTTCGTTTTAACATTGCTATTGCTTTGTATGTCGGGGGCGGGAGATTCATGTGATTGGTTGTTGGTCGTGTTGCTCGCAAAAAATCCCCAAGCTTCAGATACGCCCACCTCCAAGCGTCAACGCACGCTGCTGTGTGGACGCTCCGTTAGTGTGTGTGTGTGCATCGAATATTTTTCAAGGCAATGATACGTTAAACCCACTGCAGCCTTGCACTTCGCCAGGAGAGGTCGCTGTAACTGAAGCTTCGAGAAATGAACCTATTTCCGACACAATTGTCCAAGTGGTTCGACGCTTCATTCAAAGCTTCATTTTGCCATCACTACTTTGAATTGCCTGAAAAGTGCTATATAAATAAACTTGCCTTGCCTTAAGGCAGGGGTAGGCAAGTAAGTTTGGCTGTGGGCCAATTTTTTTTCTGAGCCGCAAGATGGCGGGCCAGAACATAATCAAAGCCTAATTCAAGGAATTGATTTTGGTAAGAGGGCGCAGCGCCCCTGTTCCCCGGTTCAGAAAAAACTCTGATATCGCTGATAAGCCTCCCCATCAACACTCTGATGCGCAGTCAGATCCGCTGATTGGTTCACTGATGATATAGGCGCCCAATCCAGAGCCTCTGGCTAGACCCGCCCAGGCTCGTCCTCTCTAGCCCCATTTCAGTCCCAAAGCCAGGGCTATTATCTGTATTTTAACAGACTTATCTTTTAAATTGAGGTGTATTTATTGTTCTCTTCAAAGTGTATTTTTCTCTGAAATTGTAGGGAGGATGGTCTTCCCTTTCCTCAATGGACGAGTCTCCACTGAGTAAAGTAGAGTTATTAACTAGGTAGCAGTGTTATTTAACATACTTGTATTCTGATAAGTATTGTCAAGTTCTCTGGGTTTTTGGCATTTATTTGAGTGTTTGCCCACATTTGAGAGGCTTGAGGGACAATTGGAATCCTTTTTCCTTTTCTTTATTTCAACATTTCAAGGACACATTAGGATTCTTTCAGGTTGAAAACCTTTAAAAAATACCAAAGGACAAAAATAAATCAATTACAGCAGTTTTGCTTTGCAATGTAATATATTATAACCTAAATTAATCAGTAACCAAGTATTTTACTCAAACTCAATGTATTTAATAGTTAAATAAGTACTTTCATTGGCCTGGTTCCCCCCAACCACACATTTGCCATATGTGACCCGCTCTATCGAAATCAGTCGGAAGTCGCAACGGCTCATTTCAAAATAAACGTGCATTTGCGTAAAAAAATAGTTTTTCGGGGATCGGGTGTTTTGTTTGATTTTAAATAAACAAAGTCTTGGCTTTCAGAATATGAATTTTTTTTCTCCAAAATCACACGATAAATACATGTTTGAAGCTTGTAAATGGAAGATGACAGCTCTCACTCGCCACTCTGCTCTTCCACAGCGCCGCTTCCCCTCCCTCCGCTGACAATATGAATGTAATATTTATGTCGGGACAGAATTTATTTTACCGGACAAATTTGAAACTTACCGCCCGGTCATGTTTCAATAATAATAATAAGAATGGTGTAGCAGAGTTTCCGTTTCCGTTCCGTTTCCGTCAAAGCAGGTAATTACTGGACTAGGACCGGATATGCTGATGTTTAAAACTCAGTTAATGGGGCTCATTTTTATATTGCTTCAGTTTATAATCGTGACAGATAAAAATATTCAGATTCATTTTTCTATAAATGATTCCACAAACAACAAACAACATAATTATTACATTCAAACAAACTACTTGTAGTAGATGAAGTACATTATTAAAAAGTTTACATTAACTTTGAATAATAACACGGGAGAAACGGATCATCTCTTTTCCCCTCTCCCTCCCTCTCTCTCCTGACAGCCCGTCAGTTTCTCATGCAGCTCGCTAAACAGTGGGCGGGGCTTCAGGTGATCATGCAGAGCTGCGTGTCTCCATCAGACTCAGCAGCTGATCTGATCTCTCTCTCGGGTCCGGTTATACTTCACTCGCGTTTATGTCTGTATCGATCAGATCCAGCTCTCCTGATCGGCCTTTATAGAGAGCACCGATCAAACTATTAAGAGTGAATATCGGCCGATAATGACCGGCGGCCGATAATGACCGGCGGCCAATCGATCGGCGGCTAACGGAAACCCTGATGTGCGACTGTCGGTCCTATGTTGTAAAAAAAAAAAAAAAAAAATCTAAATAATATTTGATTTTGATTCTCAAAATTACCGGCCAAATATTATTGCTGGCGGGCCAACAATGGTTCGCGGGCCGCCTGTTGCCGACCCATGCCTTAAGGTCATTATGGTTTGAATATTTGGCTTATTAATATAAGGCTTTAGATTCAAATAACTATTTATCTTTCTTGAATTACACAAGGGTTTAAAAGATGAACCTTTAGATGATTAATAAGTTGATTGAATTCTCTCTTTTTGCTGTGAAATGTGCGCTATCAAGGAGAATTAGACAGGGATCGATTCATCACATTATCATGTAGAATTTGATTTATAAAACGGATAAGTCAAATCAAGCAATCTGATTGGTTCTTAGTCAGTATCCCTCCGCGTCTGAGAAAAAGTTACAACTGTTACATTACGTCCGTTACGAAACGAACTAACTAAAGCTTAAGATGGAAATATTTAGGGTTAACTTCGACCTCCGGGTACTTGCTTACTATGGAGGAGTGGTCGCGTCGGGCCGAACAACGCCCCTTAGCTGTGATATAATGACCATATACCACGGCCTGTCGTGAGCTATTGCTAGATTAATAATATACATTCACAAAGTAACCTAAGTAGAAAGTACATTATTTGCCTCTGGATTATATTTTAGGAGAAGAACAGAGTAGCAGGAAATGTAAATACTGAAGTACTTGTACCTCATAATTGTATTGGTGTGAATGCACTTTGATCCCACCGATGACACTGGAGACACACTTTCGCTGATTTAATACATAAAGGTGGAAATTATATTTTAAACGCATTGGAATTATAGTTTTTAAGACTTTTAAGGAACCCCTAAACACTTTATTCCCTTGTCCTTTGACACGTGATGTCCTTTATTTATTATATAATTGTCTTTTTTCGTTATTTTAAGGCATTTTCAAACACCAGCTAAAGACGCATCTTTTTAGATTATCTTTTTATTAGCAACCGCCCACTTTAAATGTTCTTTTAGTCTTTATTATTCACCTACCTTTATATTGGTTTATTTATTGTTGTACCGATATGCTCACTTTATTTTATGGGGTTTTATATATTTTATATTGTTGCATCGACTCAGTCGTCTTGTGTCTTATCTGTCGGAGAGAAATCATTATTTACTATCATACCTTTTACCTCCTTGTGTCTATGAACCTGATCAAATGTTATATTTTGCTGCATGTACCTTTTTAAAGTTCTTAACAAATAATCTGAGGGGAATTTCTTGTTGAGGACATGATGGATACACGGATCGTGTTCAAATCAATAGGCGAATGAGTCGAATATTTGTGTTGCTTGTATTATTTAAAAACATTGTAAATGAACCTCTGGATGTCATGTTTTCAGCTCCATTGGCCTCCAGATGTTACTCCCACGGCCGGGTGGAGACGGACGAGGAGTTTGACGCCGGCTGGGTGACGTACTTCAGCAAACCTGACATCGATGCCTGGGAGCTGAGGAAAGGTACCTTTGTGCTTTTTAAATATATTCTGAGGATGTGTCCTCGCTCTGTTGTTAATAGTGTGGTTCATGTTATGGTTGTAGTTTGGGTTTCATTGAAAAGTGTGGACAAAAGAATACATTCTGTCAAAAGTTAGACCTATTTTCAGTAAATCTGGAAAAGTGTTCTGGTTGTTATAAGCCCCGATGTTTCTAGGAGTTGGGTTTTATTCCCACTTTTAACAAAACTGTATGTATTGTTTGGATACAATTGTACAATATCATGGTTGCTCTTCTTATTATTGCTTATTCTAAATATAGTACAGGCAAGAGATGCAAATAAAGGACACAGCAGGACATTTAGATGAGAACACCAGGTCAAGCTACATTTAATAAATGGTTAATATTAAATAAATAACCCAAAACAAAACACTGAACTACACACATAAATAGTCAAAGTTAATGAGGGTCCCTGAACGTACCGCACTCTGAACTACACACAGATATAATCAGTTACTGAGGGTCCCTGAACGCACCACACTCTGAACTACACACACAGCTGGGTTACTGAGGGTCCTTGAACGCACCACACTCTGAACTACACACAGATATAATCAAAGTGACTGAGGGTCCCTGAACGCACCACACTCTGAACTACACACAGATATAATTAAAGTCACTGAGGGTCCCTGAACACACCACACTCTGAACTACACACAGATATAATTAGGGTTAGTGAGGGTCCCTGAACGCACCACACTCTGAACTACACACACACAGCTGGGTTACTGAGGGTCCCTGAACGCACCACACTCTGAACTACACACACACACACAGCTGGGTTACTGAGGGTCCCTGAACGCACCACACTCTGAACTACACACAGATATAATTAAAGTTACTGAGGGTCCCTGAACGCACCACACTCTGAACTACACACACACACAGCTGGGTTACTGAGGGTCCCTGAACGCACCACACTCTGAACTACACACACACAAAGCTGGGTTACTGAGGGTCCCTGAACGCACCACACTGAGGGTCCCTGAATGCACCACACTCTGAACTACACACACACACAGCTGGGTTACTGATGGTCCCTGAACTTAACACATTCTGAACTACACACACACACACAGCTGGGTTACTTAGGGTCCCTGAACGCACCACACTCTGAACTATACACAGATATAAGCAAAGTTACTGAGGGTCCCTGAACGCACCACACTCTGAACTCCACACACACACAAAGCTGGTTTACTGAGGTTCCTGAACGCACCACACTCTGAACTACACTCAGATATAGTCTCATTTACTGAGGGTCCCTGAACGCACCACACTCTGAACTACACACATATATAATCAGTTGCTGAGGGTCCCTGAACGCACCACACTCTGAACTACACACACACACAGCTAGGTTACTGAGGGTCCCTGAACGCACCACACTCTGAACTACACACATATCTAATCAGTTACTGAGTGTCCCTGAACGCACCACACTCTGAACTACACACACATATGGTCAAAGTTACTGAGGGTCCCTGAACGCACCACACTCTGAACTACACACAGATATAAGGAAAGTGACTGAGGGTCCCTGAACTTACCACACTCTTAACTACACACACGCACGGCTGGTTTACTGAGGGTCCCTGAACGCACCACACTCTGAACTACACAGAGATATAATTGGAGTTAGTGAGGGTCCCTGAACGCACCACACTCTGAACTACACACACACAAAGCTGGGTTACTGAGGTTCCCTGAACGCACCACACTCTGAACTACACACAGATATAATCAAAGTGACTGAGTGTCCCTGAACGCACCACACTCTGAACTACACACACAGCTGGGTTACTGAGGGTCCCTGAACGCACCACACTCTGAACTACACACAGATATAATTAAAGTTACTGAGGGTCCCTGAACGCACCACACTCTGAACTACACACACATATAATTAGGGTTACTGAGGGTCCTTGAACGCACCACACTCTGAACTACACACAGATATAATCAGTTACTGAGGGTCCCTGAACGCACCACACTCTGAACTACACACACAAAGCTGGGTTACTGAGGTTCCCTGAACGCACCACACTCTGAACTACACACAGATATAATCAGAGTTACTGAGGGTCCCTGAACGCACCACACTCTGAACAACACACATATGGTCAAAGTTACCGAGGGTCCCTGAACGCACCACACTCTGAACTACACACATATATAGTCAGTGAGTGAGGGTCCCTGAACGCACCACACTCTGAACTACACACACACACAGCTGGGTTACTGAGGGTCCTTGAACGCACCACACTCTGAACTACACACAGATATAATTAAAGTGATTGAGTGTCCCTGAACGTACCACACTCTGAACTACACACATATATAGTCAGTGAGTGAGGGTCCCTGAACGCACCACACTCTGAACTACACACACACACAGCTGGGTTACTGAGGGTCCTTGAACGCACCACACTCTGAACTACACAAAGATATAATTAAAGTCACTGAGGGTCCCTGAACGCACCACACTCTGAACTACGCACACATATAATCAAAGTTACTGAGTGTCCCTGAACGCACCATACTTAGAACTACACACACATGTATGCAAAGTGACTGAGGGTCCCTGAACGCACCACACTCTGAACTACACACAGATATATTTAAAGTTACAGAGGGTCCCTGAACGCACCACACTCTGAAAAAGGATCCCTTCAAAAAATTTAAATAACTAAGTTGACGGTCCAATACACTCAAGAACCAAAGACACACACATACGATATGCATATCATATGTATTGTCCCATTTCATGTTTTGTAATGGTTTGAGGCAATATTATGAATGTGTCATTATGCTGCTGTCAAATCCTCGTCTCAGTACGATACCAGTCACCTCTGTGGAAACATTGGTATAACTGCCTTTTTCATTTATATTGAACTGTATGTCTTTTAAAAATGGACCTTGAGTCTCTTCAATAAAGCTGACGAATATCTTCTCCACAAGAAATTGTCTTAATGTATTTTTTATGAACCTTAAATTCAGACGACTCTTGTTAATGATTGCTAATTCTTCCAAGTAATACATTTGTTTTTTAAATGAATGTGAAGGCATGAACACCCTGATCGGGTACGACCTGGTGCCCGAGGCTAAGATCGTGGACTCTGCGCTCAGAGCGTGCCGGAGACTGAACGACTTGGCCAGCGCCATCCGTATCCTGGAGGCCGTTCAGGTGAGATCACTTATCGAATTGTGGAAGAAATGAGGCCCTATGTCTCCTCCTAACCACTCTTACTTAATGTCCATGAAAATGTTCAAGATTCAAGGCTTTTATTGTCATATGTACATAGCTACAGTTTAGATATGTATTAAATCTGAGGCTCCTCCAACAGCGAAACACAGTGAAACAGATAAAATAGTGCAAGGCAAGTTTATTTATATATATATATATATATATATATATATATATATATATATGGATGTTCTTTCAAAAGCTCAGGTGTTGAACAGTCTGATGGCCTGTGGGATGAAGCTGTTCTGGTATAATAACATAATGATCTGGGATTAAAGGAAGTAGTGAAGGAGAATTCGTCAGGACACTGGGAGACGTTATGAGACGGAGGGTGTTTTTGATGTGCCTCTGTTGTGGGAAAACTACAAAGCGACTAAAAGCACATCTAGATACTTGAGTCCGTGCATAGCATGTTGTTTCTTGAGGGTTTCATAAATGTGTGAAGCTAATTGGTTGCATGAAAGCCATTTAGTATCATTGTATATAACGGCTTTGAATAAATAATACTCTATGGAATATTTATACATAAACGTATCTTTCGTAAAGGATGGTCCTGTGTTTCCTTAAGGAGATAACAAGGGAAGCAAGGTGCCCACTGAGAGACTTCTAGGTCAATGCACTCTGTTAGGAACATTTCTGAGTGAAAGATGAATAAAATAGTGCGAGAGAATGATTTGAGATGTGCAAGTAAATACAAATATAATAGAAATAGTGCAAGAAGAGTCAATATACAAGTAAATCTGATATATTAGATAAATAATTAGCAAGATGCAAACAGATGAATGTTTATGGATGGTCTTTAAAAAGTGCAGGTGTTTAATAATCTTATGGTGCAATATAATGGATTGAAGTAGAGAACAATATTATCACCGTGGTATTCCCATGTGTTGTGAATGGAAAGACTTGTTGTTTATTTGATTACTAGATGCTAATTGATTTTTAAACCAATCATAAAGGAGGGCTTCAGTCCATACGTATTGCTGATCGCTGTAAGTAGTGTAAGCGGTGTTCTCCGTAACAAAATCCTCTTCATTTGTTATTTCCTCTGTGTCCTTCAGGACAAAGCCGGCCCCCACAAAGAGATCTACCCGTACCTGATCCAGGAGCTGCAGCCCACGCTGTCAGAGCTCGGCGTCTCGACTCCAGAACAGCTCGGCATGGACAAGTTGTAGACCCTCCAGGTGACGATGCTCTCATTACAACATGTGTTTTTAGCACATCTCTGCACACGTGTCTCAGGGACAGTTTCATCCCAGAGATGTCTCTACATCAGGGGTCTCCAAACCTCAGCAAATAATAAAAGTAGAATGGAATACGGCCCACAAATAAAACGTGTGCTCGGCTTATATTGTACTTCTTAAATATATATGTACAAATATATTACACAGTAGTATTCAGGTGTTAATGAAACCACTTTTCTAATAAAGCTGGAAACATTTTCTAACAAATCTTAGTTGATAAGAAAAAATACTTATTTCCATAACAAGCTTGAAATACACCGTTCCTATTCCTCCTTATTTTAATCAATCTGAAGCTTCTGCTTTAAGGGATGAGCTGCCAACACTCACGAGCATCATTTACCTACATTTGATTGGTTTTGCTAACTTATAACTTCACTTATGAGGCAATGAACCTCTACTGAGGGGCCCAGCCCTTTGTATATTTTTCTGTGTGTGGCCCTCAGTGAAAAAGGTTTGGCCACCCCTGCTCTATTTACTAATTACTCTTCTTTGCACACTGTAGTCTGACATATATTCAGTGTTCTAAGTCTTTTCGTTTTTTTAGGTTATTTTGTATTTAAATTAATGCTGTCAAAATTATCGCGTTAACGGCGGTAATTACATTTTTGAATGAACTGCGTTAAAAATGTTTAACGCATTTAACGCATGTGCAGAATGGCCCGCCCCATACATCCCACCAGTGGCAGCGGCAGGGTATGGCTGGGGTAGGCTACACCCATACCAAGAAATGGCTTAGCCCCACCTTGAAAAATGATGTTAAAGTAAGCAAAATAAAGTCTGCCAACTCGCGCGGAGTAAATTGCACAGACAGCAGTTAGTAAGATTGATTTCAGTAGCCACTTGTCTGGAAATACCGAAGACTAGAAACGGTTTTGAAAACTTTTGTCACTTAGTGATCGTCTTCTCAATAGAACATCTTTGATAATGTCTTCTGGCCAATCAGAATCAAGATAACGGCGTGGTGTTGTTGCAGGAAGTCCCGACGGAGAATACTTTTGCTGTAGTACCTCTATATACACCGATACAACATTACGTGTTGATAGAAATCAACACGTAATGAAATAAGACCCCACGGTTTGATGATTGATAGGTGTGTGGGCTGTCTTTCATTTTGACACACAGAATAATGTTATAATAAATATACATGGCCTACTGTATGTTAAATGGATATATCCACCTTCTTTCATTTATCTTTCCATTCCCACAACAATATACATAAAGAAATGGCATATTTTGGACATAATTCGAATGGTGATTAATCACGATTAATTAATTTTTAAGCTGTGATTAATCTGATTAAAAAATTGTTATCGTTTGACAGCCCTAATTTAAATGTATATGTTTGACCTCTTTTTACAACTTATGGTCTGAAGTTGTTTATGTTTGCACCACAATACACCCAGAGCTAATCCCTCTGTGTCCCTGGTGATAAACTTGATTCTGAATTTAGGAAGTTAATGTGTTAAATTGTGCAGCAGCTCATGAATGATTTTGCTTTTGACTTCCTCTCATCTGAACATGTCTCCTTCTCCTCTCTCCTCAGGTCCTTGGATGTATAACGAGATGACGATGAGCTCTTCTGATTCCCCACTTTAAATATGTCTATATATTGTTGATCAAACCCATGCTTTCCTGTTGTGTACAAAATGGTGGACCTAATAATAACGAAACCAATAATTTAAGAACGTGTGTTGTGCTTTTAGTTTTGTATATACATGCATCATATGTTCCAAGTTGATCAAATAAACTCATGTATACAAGATTAAAACATAGTTTAGCTATCTTGGTCAAAGTGTTGATGAACCAGTTTGTACCTTTTGGTTTGATGAGCTTCAGGTCACCAGGGGCCTGTACTACGAAGCCAGTTCAACCTAACCTGGATATGTTTGAGTTAGCCGGTTGGCCTAATCCAAAACATACGCGCTCTCGCTAAACGGTCCTACGACGCAGGTTATCAAGTGGATCGCTCAAGCCAGCCATGTCCTATCTAGTTAGGTGCGCGTTCACATGAAAGGGGTGGTATCTGGAGCATTCGACCAATCACAAACATGGAGAAGCGTACTGACAGCGCAGCGTCATACTTCCTGAATGAAAAGTCAACTATAATATTAGACATATGAAGAAGTTAAACTTTAAACATCCATGACTTAAACACTTTATCCAGGATCAAAGCCACAGAGCTGCACCTGCAAGGTGAATACAGCTGGTAAAAGAAAAAGTGTTTGAATACGTACATTAACAGGTTTATGATATCACTAAGACACGAGTGGATCTGACTTTAATTACATTTGACTCGAGTGTTTCGTCAACTTAATGTGTTGCTTAAAATAATTCTTATGCATACAGTATGTGACACTGAGTGTTGCACGGCCAGATACGGCTCAGCTGACTCAGATAAGGAGATATATGATACATTATGATGTGATATGAATGATAATGGGACATATCGACGTCTGCACTCACAGTGCCGCGGAGGGGGGGGGGTGGTCAATAACGTAACCAGATGAGTGATTACAGCGCCCGGTATCATTTTACACACATTTATATCACACAGATGCAGGACTTGCACACGCCTGTTATCTAACCGAAAGGTCCGCACGCACTCTCCAGCTGAAACTCTCTCCTTATTAATTTAATGCAGACAATCACACAATCTATGTGATTTTTGGATTTACCGTGCCTCTCAATTGCCCGTGACAGGTTGATGAATCCTGAAGTTGCCCAAGGATTGTTCAGGGAGCCCGAATCCTTGTCAAAAAGAAGACATGGCCAGCAAAATAGACGCTGAAGTTTAGCGCTTCCAGTTAGCCACTCCGTGCGGACATAATTATCCTCATTGAACGTCCGATTCTCTCCCTTTTTCCTCTGTGTACGCACAGCTCGAGTGCGGGCATTGGCCTGTCATCTGATTTAATTTTCAGTTGCTGCTGTAGCGGAAGTTTAGTAAAGTTATGTTTGATTAAGTACGCCAATAAAAAATATTGTTTTTATTCCAGTTGAATGATTGTGATTGAAAAGCCTAAGGAGGCTGGTAAACATTGCAAAGAGGGATTTGTATTCCTTAAACATAAGATCTCTAGCATCTAAAGCAATATTGGTAAATGATTTAATATCAGATTATAATATTGATATATGCTGTCTCACTGAAACTTGGTTGAGACATGAAGAATATGTCAGCATAAATGAGGCCACTCCACCCAGCCATATCAATACTCATATTGCCCGAGGCACGGGCCGAGGAGGTGGAGTTGCATCAATCTTTGACTCAAGTTTACTTATCAATACTAAACCAAAATTAAATTATACCTCCTTTGAAAGCCTCGTTTTTAGTGTTACGCATCCGACCTGGAAAACTTTGCAGCCAATCTTATTTGTTACAGTGTACCGTGCACCAGGTCCTTATTCAGAATTCTTATCAGAATTCTCTGAGTTTTTATCAACTTTGATTCTTAAAACAGATAAAGTAATTATCGTAGGTGACTTTAATATTCATGTTGACGATGATAAAAATAGCCTTACTGTGGCATTTAACTCTATATTAGATTCTGTTGGTTTCTGTCAGAGTGTAAATAAACCAACCCACTGCTATAATCACACTCTCTGACCTTGTTCTGACTTATGGTATTGAAATTGAGCAACTATTAGTCGAACCGCATAATCCTGCTTTATCCGACCATTTCTTAGTAACTTTTGAAGTACTGTTCCTAGACTACAAAGCATTAGTCAAAAGCTCCTGCAGCAGAAACCTATCTGTTAGTGCTATAGCCAAATTTAAGGAAGAGATTCCACCAATACTTAACTCGATAGCATGTCTCCATGTAGGGGAGGAAACTTATACAAAATGTACACCACCCCAAATTGATCATGTTGTTGATAGTGCTACAGATGCGCTGCGAATACAATTAGACTCTGTTGCTCCTTTGAAAAAGAAGAAAATAAAACAACATAGATTAGCTCCATGGCATAATGCCGAAACCCGCAAAATAAAGCAAAAGTCGAGACAACTTGAAAGGATATGGCGTTCCACTATACTTGAAGAATCTCGTTTAATTTGGCATATTACTCTCAATGAATATAAGAAAGCACTGCGTAAAGCGAGAGCAGCCTACTACTCTTCATTAATAGATGAGAATAAGAATAATGCAAGATTTCTTTTCAGCACTGTAGCCAGGCTGACAGAGAGCCACAGCTCGATTGAGCCTTCTATTCCCATAGCACTCAGTAGTAATGATTTTATGTGCTTTTTTAACGATACAATTGTTACTCTTAGAAAACAAAATTAATGACCTCTTGCCTTTGACCAGTATAGTGTTATCAACGGCTCCCGGAAACGTAAGTTCTAATATTACACTAGATAGTAAACTAGAATGCTTTTCAACCATAAACCTTGAACAATTAAATTCAATGATTCTCTCTTCTAAACCATCAACGTGTATGTTAGACCCAATTCCAACTAAGCTGTTGAAGGAAGTTTTTCCATTAATTAGCACTTATTTATTAAATATTATGAATATGTCTTTATTATCAGGCTATGTTCCACAATCATTCAAAGTAGCAGTGATAAAACCGCTTCTTAAAAAGCACAACCTCGATCCAGAGGTTTTAGCCAACTATAGACCTATTTCTAATCTTCCGTTCCTCTCAAAAATTCTTGAGAAAGCGGTCGCAAAACAGTTGTGTGATTACTTAAAATACGATGATTTATTTGAAGATTTTCAGTCAGGCTTTAGAACACATCATAGCACAGAGACAGCTCTGGTTAAAGTCACAAATGACATTCTAATAGCTTCTGACAAGGGACTTGTCTCTATTCTTGTTTTGCTCGATCTCAGTGCTGCATTTGATACTATCGACCATGATATCTTATTGCAAAGACTAGAGCACTTAGTTGGCATACAGGGAACTGCTTTAGGCTGGTTTAGGTCCTATCTATCTGAACGCTCTCAGTTTGTACGTGTCAACGATGAATCTTCCACACAAACCAAAGATAGCCATGGAGTGCCACAGGGCTCAGTGCTCGGACCTATTTTGTTCACATTATATATGCTTCTGTTAGGCAATTTTATAAGGAATAATTCTGTACATTTTCATTGTTATGCGGATGATAGTCAATTATATTTATCAATCAAGCCTGATGAAATTAATCATCTAAATAAAATGCAAGACTTCCTCAAGGACTTAAAAACGTGGATGACCTTTTTGATGTTAAACACGACCAAAACTGAAGTTATTGTACTTGGCCCGAAGAATCTACGATACAAATTATCTAAGGATATACTAACTATGGATGGCATTAATTTGGCCTCCAGTGAGACTGTAAGGAATCTTGGTGTTATATTTGATCAGGATTTATCCTTTAACGCCCACATAAAATCAATTTCAAGGACCGCCTACTTCCATCTACGTAACATTGCAAAAATCAGGCATATCTTGCCTCAAAACGATGCAGAGAAACTAGTCCATGCATTTGTTACTTCAAGGCTGGATTATTGTAACTCCTTATTATCAGGGTGTACCAAGAAGTCAGTCAAGTCGCTTCAGCTGATTCAAAATGCTGCAGCTCGTGTACTAACCAGAGTTAGGAAAAGGGACCACATTACTCCTGTTCTGGCTGCCTTACACTGGCTCCCTATAGAACACAGGATAGAATTTAAAATTCTTCTTCTCGCCTACAAAGCCCTTATTGGGCAGGCGCCATCTTACCTTAAAGAACTCATTATACCCTACTGTCCTACTAGGGCATTGCGTTCCAAGAATGCACGGTTGTTGGTTGTTCCTAGAGTCTCTAAAAATACAATGGGAGCCAGAGCCTTTTCTTATCAAGCTCCACATTTGTGGAATCAGCTTCCAGTTTGTGTTCGGGCGGCAGACACCCTATCTGTTTTTAAGAGTGCGCTTAGGACCTTCCTTTTTGATAAAGCATATAGTTAGGGCTGATTAGATTCAGAACCTAGTTTTGCTGATATAGGCTTAGTTTGTCGGGGGACATCTTACTTCTTCCTTCTCGCTGTCTATACCTGTGTACTCTCATGTTCCGATTAACCCAGCTTCCCCAAATGTCTTTATTTTTGGTGTCTATATACACCGGGTTCCGGAGTCATGGATGATCCTGCGGTTCTGTGTCCTGGATCGCGAGCCCTGGATCTTGAGTCGTGGCTGTGGTCCTGGATCATAAGTCCTGGATGGATATCCTCGTGGATTCATCTTCCTATTATACACACATGCATTTCCAAACATTTGCAACCTATGTTGCAAATGTATTATCTTTTCAATTTACACACGGCATCTATTGCACGTCTGTCCGTCCTGGGAGAGGGATCCCTCCTCTGTTGCTCTCCCTGAGGTTTCTCCCATTTTCCCCTTAAACTGTGGGTTTTCTCCGGAAGTTTTTCCTTGTACGATGTGAGGGTCTAAGGACAGAGGGTGTCGTATTGTCATAGTGATATTCTCTACAAACTGTGAAGTCCACTGAGACAAATGTAACATTTGTGATATTGGGCTATATAAATAAACATTGATTGATTGATTGATTGATTGATTGATTGATTGATTGATTGACTTCCTTGGACACCGCGTCACCAAAGGCTGTGCAGCACCCCTGCCGGCGAAGGTTGAAGCTGTTGCGGCATTTCCTCGCCCGCTCACAGCCCGGTGCTCCGTGAGTTCCTGGGGACGGTGACTTTCTACCACAGTTTCATCGCCCGGGCCGAGAGCTCCTTGGACTCTGGCTGGCCGTGCGACATTTCAGTTTTTTGCTGGAAGGCCGTG